ATTTGCTGCCCCCTCAAAATAACTCAATACACAACCATTAATGTCTAAACCACTAGCAACAAAAGTGAGTACACCCCTAAGTGAAAATGTCCAAACTGGGCCCAAAGTGTCAATATTTTGTGTGGCCACCATTATTTTTCCAGCACTGCCTTAACCCTCTTGGACATGCAGAGATGGAGATTGAAGGCTGTGTCCTCAATCTCCTTTCACTGTGTCAATTTGGTGATATCTCACCAAAGCCCCCCATGGGGCTCCTAAAAAAGTAAAAAATAAAATTGTAAAAAAAATAAACAAATAAAATAAAATGGTAAAAAAATAATAAAAAATATATAAATAAAAAACTACTGACACCAGTAGCTGGACTACTAGGGTCGCAAAGGTCGCACGTGCGACTGTTGAAGGGCCCCTGGGCACAGGGCTGCTCAGTCTGAACTGTCCAGGCCTATTTTTTTTGTTCCAGTCTGAGCCTGATTGTGGCACTTGGGCTTATTCCCAAGCTGGCTGTGTGTGTGCCCTGCCTTCCCACTCCCTGCTCACAGGATTTGATTGACAGCAACAGCAGCCAATGGCTCTCACTGCTCCCTCCATTCTGTGAATGCAGAGAGACAGAGGAGAGAGCTGCTACAGACAGGTACAGTGTTGGATTGAAGCTGGGCTCAGTTAAATATTCGGGGGGGGGGATACAAATATTGGGATATTATTTACCTTAATGCAGGTAATGATTTAAGATTTAAAAAAAATGTCTAGCATTTTAAAGCATACCTAGAGGCTTTAAACTTTTTTGCTTAGGATAACGTGGAGAGGAATCAGAACACCTGTCAGGTTGTTGTTTTTTTTTTTTTGTTGTTGTTGTTGTTTGTGTCACCATTGGGAGATTAACCCTCTCTATTTGTCATATTTACTGTTACCACTGATAGTGAAAGAAAATCCCAAATTTCATATTTACTGTTACCACTGATCGTGAAAGAAAATCCCAAATTTTGGGTTGTCCCCAGAACAGTAATATAGGGAAAAATCTTTCAATGGGGAAACTAGTTCAGGTGACAACTAGGGAATCAATCACTTTGGAGGGATTTCCACTTTTGGCTAAGGAACAAGAAATCTCCCCAATAGGACACACAGATGTAGAAAAAAAAAACAAAAGAGGTTTTAATCCTCTATCCAAAATGAGAAAAATAAGTTTCAGTTCTACTTTACGTGCATGTTTTGTGGGATTCTATTTCACTGATTCTGATATTCAAGACATAAAAGATTGCCAAAAAAGGAAATACAGTAGAAATATGCAGTATCAATAAGCTTAAAGATCATGTCAATTCACGTAAATGTCAATATATAGCTGTTTGTCTAAACTTACAAATAGTAGTAAAATTGTTAAATGTATATCTAGCCTATCAAGTACTCCAGTAGAAGGCTTTCTATATTTCTGGTTTACTACTTCTAACCGTATCTAATAAAGAGCCGACATATTTGAGTCAATCAATCTCTTTTAGCTGTGTGACTGGCCAGATATTCCTCTAGGCTGGGAGTGATTTGCCCTACTAAACTACATTTCCATCACACTACAGCAGGACAAAATAGATGTACACTATATTGCCAAAAGTGGCATCCCAGTCTTAGTCCGTAGGGTTCATTATTGAGTTGGCCCACCCTTTGCAGCTATAACAGCTTCAACTCTTCTGGGAAGGCTGTCCACAAGGTTCAGGAGTGTGTCTATGGGAATGTTTGACCATTCTTCTTCTAGAAGCGCATTTGTGAGGACAGGCACTGATGTTGGACAAGAAGGCCTGGCTAGCAGTCTCCACTCTAATTCATCCCAAAGGTGTTCTGAAGGCTTTTTAAGTGTGTTGGCCCTTAGGGGTCGCATCGTGGAGGTGAGGAGGCAATTTAGCCATTGGTGGATTTCTTTTCAAGTCGATCACTTTCACTATCACCAATCAAGTTTATTTGGAAATTTAATATTGGACTTTACACGTAGTAGTTTATCGTGGACTTTACACCATCTTTTGTGTTTATTCACATTTTTGTGGCAATATTTATGCCATTATTTATGACGTGTTTGTTTTTGTGCTTATTTTCCACCCATCATTTTATATATATTCATTTTTTACATTTATGTCATCCATGTTTAGTCCTGCACTGGTATATATCACTTTTAGGCTTTTTATGTGTTGATTATTGTTATACCAGTTCACCATTATTTAATATTTCATTATTTATATTTATTTTTAGATTTTTACCACTTTTTTCACATAATTTCCTCCCTTTTCATATGTACAGTTTACTTATATTACTATGGCACATGTCTTGATCTGAGGACGTGTTTATTTGTGTTGTTTTCACATATGATAGTGCACTCGTGCTATTTGTGCTGTTTACGTTGTAGTTCACATGTGCTTTCTGTGAGCTATCCATTTTTCCCACCTTACGTAGTTTATTTAGATTTATTTAGATTCCTTAGCACAGCACCAACCCCCCTTTATTGCATCTTCACTATTTGGTGATATAGTTGGGTGCTCACTGCTTTTCTAGACTGTAGGGTTGAGTTTAGTATTGTAGTGGCGGTGCAGGAGGGTTTTCCCTATCACTCAAGATGTAGTTGTCTCCAATTTTGGCCATCAGTCCACCACATTGGCAGATGAGTTAGCTATATAGTGAGATAGCATTCCACTCTAAATGGTTCAGCCAGCGGGGACCATCAGAGGGATAGTTTGGGCAAAATGCAAAGTAGATCCCACTTACATTATAGATGTCACCGCGATCTTGGTGTATTCTGCTTTGTATGTCCACACTCCGACCCGAAAGAGGATCCACACATATCTCACATTCAAATGGCTAACTTCAGCTAGAGAAAGGCAATCCCACGTGGGTAATCCAGCATTCTAGTTCTAATGACCCCGCATCATACCTTCCGGGTTAAGACAAATCAGACCTCCATACAATGAGAGCTGAGCGAAATCCGTTACTGTAGGTTTGGCAAGCAGCTGAAAATATAGCTTGGCATCGATACAAGGGCCTGGGGCATCCTAGGCAGGAGCTACTGTCAACGCGTTTCGCCCATTCACTTTGAACACGGGCTTTGTCAAGACCAGTTGGGGGCGCCCTACACTTCTCAATTTATTTACTCAGCCTCATAACGAGGCAACCTCAGCATTTAATGGTGACCTTAAAAAGCTCAGCAGCTATCAATCACTCTAATTAAAATCATATTCATTTTACTACTTAGAAATAACAGTTTCAAATCAATAAACATTGGCCACCTCAAGCTGAGTGTCAACATGGAAAAACAGATTGGTAAATATTAAACCCACAAAAATATCCCAAGCCATACTCCCAAAACCACATATTAGCTGCCTCCACATGTAGAGAAGTCATCTCTGTAAAAGCGATTTTTCTGTCCAAAAAATAGTTGAAAGTACACCAAAATTTAAATAATGCTAAGTGCATTATCTTAGTAAGATACTACCCAGGGAGAAAAACTCCTAGATTCATCTCATTATTCAGGCCACTTGGGACCAAGGTTCCCAGTCTATATATCCAACGTTTTTCTTGCTGGAGAAGCATCCTATCAAAGTCACCCTTTCTAGCGGATAGTTTTAAGGCAAAGAAATCCTTTAATTTGTAGAAGCAGTCTGTGTCCCTAGGTGTTTCATTTTATACACCTGTGGCCATGGAGGTGATTGGAATACCTGAATCCAATGATTTGGAAGGGTGTCCCAATACTTTTGGCAATATAGTGTATATTTAACCATAGATGCTGTGGGAGGAAGGGGGGCAGGTCCAATGAAGACTCATCTTCATATTTGTTTGACAGGGCAAGATTGCCTTACACAGTATCTGAGTTTGCTGCAAAATATGTAGTCCTTACATTCCTTTGGAGAAATTTGTAGAGGGTACCAAACATAGCAGTACTGTCACTAATGTCTGGTGGAGTTTCTTTGGTACAATTTGACCAATACAGTGGGCTGGAGAAAACTGAAGGTTAGATAGAAAGTCTGGTCTCTCATGACCACTCTAGAGGTGGACAGATTTTCCTGTCCACGAAAGAATTTTGGAAAATTCTGGGCTGATGTTGTACACGTAGATATCTCATTAAAAATGTATATGATTCTTGGACTAGGCATATGCTGATGGAGCATAGAAAGATATCTCCCCCCCCCCCCCATGAGGTTTTTTATTCCCTTTTTTGTATATGGATAGATAGATGGGATGAAATTGCTGCCAACCTTTTCAAATGCAGTAAGTGTTAATGGTTGTCATGCTTCCCTAGTTTGGGAACCAGGTCATTTTGATAGCTCAGATAAGGCCCAGCCATGATTGTTTAAATAATACAGAATAATTTTGTCAGAGCTTTGAAGATTATGTGGTAATTGGTGAAACATATGGTGTCAAATGAAGGTGTTATTTTTATCCCTAAAAATGTTAGGCAGGATTTAGACAACTGAAAGGGAACATTTCATATGGATGAGAGTCATGGTTGTGTCCGACGGACATATTAAGAGTGATAGATTTTTTTGTATTGATGAAAAGACCTAAGACCTCACCCAAGGTTTTCATTAAATTTAGGAGAGATATATGAGGTTGTCTCAAAGTCAGAAGCATGTTGTCTGCAAGTGAATTCAGTTTACACCTACATATTCAATACTTTAATGTCATAATTTTCTTTAAAGGAAAGCACAAGTGTTTCCAGTGATAATTTGAACTGAATTGATGCTTGTCTTGTACCCTATAATGTCTTAATGGCTCAAATAGAGATCCTTTACTTTTTACATTTGCAGAGGAGTTATTAGAAAATAAGCTGATCCAGTTAACAAAATGTTGTCTGAACCCCATTTAGCAAGGACATACAGTACTTAAATTTTTTGAAGATTTGCAGAAAGACAACCAGTAATAGATACCATATTTTTCGCTCCATAAGATGCACTTTTTTCCCTCAAAAAAAGGGGGGGAAATGTCAGTGCGTCTTATGGAGTAAATATAGAGTGGCCTGTCTGGCATTTCCGCTGCCGACACCGTGTCAGAATACCGGGCCGGCCACTCAGCTCTTCTCTGCAGCAGGACCTTACCTTAGTCTTCCCGCGCCGTCATCTTTAGTGTGGGAACCCGGCTGTGACAGCCGGGTGCTCACTGCGCATTCGCGAGAAGCGCTGCTCTTTGTGAATGGCCCGGAGTCTTCTGGGACCTAACATATGTCCAAGAAGACGCCGGCCATTCACAAAGAGCAGCGCTTCTTGTGCATGCATGTGTCCGCATGTCTCTGGTCATCTCCTGTACTACGTCCGCAGTCTCTGGTCATCTCCTGTACTACGTCCGCAGTCTCTGGTCATCTCCTGTACTACGTCTGCAGTCTCTGGTCACCTCCTGTACTATGTCCGCAGTGTCTGGTCATCTCTTGTACTATGTCCGCAGTCTCTGGTCATCTCCTGTACTGTGTCCGCAGTCTCTGGTCATCTCCTGTACTGTGTCCGCAGTCTCTGGTCATCTCCTGTACTGTGTCCGCAGTCTCTGGTCATCTCCTGTACTATGTCCGCAGTCTCTGGTCATCTCCTGTACTGTGTCCGCAGTCTCTGGTCATCTCCTGTACTGTTTCCGCAGTCTCTGGTCATCTCCTGTACTGTGTCTGCAGTCTCTGGTCTTCTGTACTATGTCCGCAGTCTCTGGTCATCCCCTGTACTGTGTCCGCAGTCTCTGGTCATCTCCTGTACTGTGTCCGCAGTCTCTGGTCATCTCCTGTACTGTGTCCCCAGTCTCTGGTCATCTCCTGTACTGTGTCTGCAGTCTCTGGTCATCTCCTGTACTGTGTCCGCAGTCTCTGGTCATCTCTTGTACTGTGTCCGCAGTCTCTGGTCATCTCCTGTACTGTGTCCACAGTCTCTGGTCATCTCCTGTACTGTGTCCGCAGTCTCTGGTCATCTGCTGTACTGTGTCCGCAGTCTCTGGTCATCTCCTGTACTGTGTCTGCAGTCTCTGGTCATCTCCTGTACTATGTCCGCAGTGTCTGGTCATCTCTTGTACTATGTCCGCAGTCTCTGGTCATCTCCTGTACTGTGTCCGCAGTCTCTGGTCATCTCCTGTACTGTGTCCGCAGTCTCTGGTCATCTCCTGTACTGTGTCCGCAGTCTCTGGTCATCTCCTGTACTATGTCCGCAGTCTCTGGTCATCTCCTGTACTGTGTCCGCAGTCTCTGGTCATCTCCTGTACTGTTTCCGCAGTCTCTGGTCATCTCCTGTACTGTGTCTGCAGTCTCTGGTCATCTGTACTATGTCCGCAGTCTCTGGTCATCCCCTGTACTGTGTCCGCAGTCTCTGGTCATCTCCTGTACTGTGTCCGCAGTCTCTGGTCATCTCCTGTACTGTGTCCCCAGTCTCTGGTCATCTCCTGTACTGTGTCTGCAGTCTCTGGTCATCTCCTGTACTGTGTCCGCAGTCTCTGGTCATCTCTTGTACTGTGTACGCAGTCTCTGGTCATCTCCTGTACTGTGTCCGCAGTCTCTGGTCATCTCCTGTACTGTGTCCGCAGTCTCTGGTCATCTGCTGTACTGTGTCCGCAGTCTCTGGTCATCTCCTGTACTGTGTCTGCAGTCTCTGGTCATCTCCTGTACTATGTCCGCAGTCTCTGGTCATCTCCTGTACTGTGTCCGCAGTCTCTGGTCATCTTCTGTACTGTGTCCGCAGTCTCTGGTCATCTCCTGTACTGTGTCCGCAGTCTCTGGTCATCTCCTGTACTATGTCTGCAGTCCATTGGTTCAGAGTATTTTTTTTCTTGTTTTTCTCCTCTAAAACTTAGGTGCGTCTTATAGTCAGGTGCATCTTATGGAGCGCAAAATACAGTAAATGCTTTCAGTGGACTTTAAAAAAGTGTTTCATATATCATATTAAATTTGTGACAATTTTACCCATTGTTATTATATTTTTGAGTGCACGATCATGAGGTCACTCATAACTAACAGTGATGGTAGCAGCTAGAAGTCACAGGGGTAGATTTGCTAAGACTGGAGCCCTCAGAATCTGGTGCAACTGTGCACAGTAACCAATCAGCTTCTAACTTCAGCTTGTTCAATTAAGCTTTGGCAATAATACCTGGAAGCTGATTGGTTTCTATACAGAGATGAACCAGCTTTTGCACTCTCCAGTTTTAGTAAATAACTCCCACAGTGTCCATCTAGTTGTATGCTATAAGGAGCATAATTTCTGTGCAGAATGCAGGTTCTTGCTGTCAGAGCTAGCAGAAGATCTGATGGAAAAAAATGTGTCTACAGTACTCACTTTTATATGTGATTAAACGCATGTAGTTCTTCTAATGAGTTTATCTGTTTACATGTGTACAGGCGTAAGACCTGCAGATATGTACAACCATGGACACAGCTGAGGCCTAATTTTTTTGTATATCGCTTTTGTTTTTAGATGCAGCTATGTGTATTGATTTCTAGATTGCTGAATTTAGATGCATACAAAACTATACGCTGTACACATCTAGACGCAGTATTTGAGAAGCCCATGTGAATGATCCCCAAGCATGGAGAAGGCAAGGTTTTAAACCCTGTTTATTTTAGCCTTTTCTTGCTATTTTAATTTCTTATAGAAAGGGGGAGAGGGCTGTTATTGCTATCTGAAATCACACTGGGAAGAGTTTCCTCACTTCCTTTCCTGATGATAATGTCACAAGGTTAGGAAGAGAGGTGAGATCTTTAACAGAATATGGGTTGAAGTAAAAATCAGGTAGAGGTTGTATCCCTTCTTCTTCTTCAAAAAAGAAGCTTTTTATTGCCATGTCCCTGTCATAAAAAGTTTCCTTACCTTTATATCCTGTCTCAGAGTTCCATTGGTCATATTACCACAGAGTAATATTCTGCCCATAAGTCTGCTGGTACCCAACAAAATATACTGCCGTTTTCTTGAGTTGGGTCTATTTTCTAATCCCTCCCTTTGTAACTGAAAATGTGAGGAACTTAAAAAATAACTCCACTTTTGTATTTAAAAAATGGAAATTAAAATAATAATAATAATAATATAACATATACAATTGCTACACCAGTCACATTGTAATTGAATGTTGTTAATATTTACCTTTCCTTTTCAATCTGCAGTGTTGTAATTTTCTGTAAAACTCAATGCAATATGGCTACCTGCAAGTATTCTATACACCAGCGGTCACGAAATGGTGGTCAGAGGTCCAAGAATGGCCCAAGCAGCACTCCCTTCTGGACCGTCAGCCCGCAATGACAGATCTTCCGCTGAGCAGGGCGGTCATCGCGGCAACAGATGACATAATGTGTGCGCCCCGCCCTTTGCAGCTCATTGTCTTTCTGACTCCTGCTCCCTGCCTGTACACAAGCATCCTTCAGCAAGGATCCCGATGGCTCCTGTCTGCCCTCAAGGTAGGGTGTAGTCTTACAGGGGCACTCTGATGGGCACATTTAATGTTAAAGGGTCATGCTGATGGGCACATTTAATGTTAAGGTGCACTCTGATAGGCACAACATAGAATGTTCCCATCTGAGTGCCCCTTAACATAAAATGTACCCATCAGAGTGCCCCTTAATATAAATGTGCCCATCAGCATGCTCCTTATGTTAAGGGGCACTCTGATGGACATCTATTATGTTAAGAGGGCAATCTGATGGGCACATGTTATATTAAGGGGGCACAAATGGGCACATTCTGATGGAAAGGGGCAGTTCAATTGGCAAATGTGATGTAAAGGGGCACTCTGATGGGAATGTCATGTAAAGGGGCACTCTGATGGGGAAATATGATGGCAAGAGGTACTTTGAGTATAAGGGGGCACTCTGATGGGAATACTTGATGTAATATGGTGCTGTGATGGGGATCCCTGATGTAAAGGGGCACTCTGATGGGGACAATTGATGTGATGGGAATACATGATGTAGAGTTGCACTCTGATGGCAACACCTAATGTAAGGGGGCACACTGATGGGCACACCTTATTTAGATCTTGCCCAGAAGAAAATAGTGACCAGATCTTTGAATTTGAATTCAATACCCTTGGTATAAACCATAGGTGTACAGAACACCCCCAGCAATGTAATTTCTAGTTAGTGTTTTTGGCTTACCGATTTTCCCAGAAGTCTGCACTAGGATACAAGTCACATTTTAGGCATCTTATGCAACAAAAAAAATTTCTAGAACACTGCAAGTGCATTAGCTGATTATTAAAAAAAAAAAGTCACTCCCCTTCAAATTCACCCTGCAGACACCAAACTACTTTTTCTTCAGAGCAGAAACAGGTAGGAATCTGCAAAAAAGTTTATTAAAATCCTTGCAATGTAGATTGATTACCCATAAGGAATTTTTTTTTCAACAAAAGTGGAGTTACCATTTTAATGAACTGGTATGGTTGCCCAAATGGAAATGTAACTTTTTCCTGACAGGTAATGAAAGCATTAATCTCATGATAATTACATTATTAGGATAAAACACTTTTTTGCTTAGACAGGAGTTTTTCAAGGGTGTTTTAATAATTATAATTTGAAAAAAGAATATCCACTGGTATATCTTGGAATATCACAATACTATATTTGAGAAGATGACTAAATAAAAATTTGAAATGTATTTTCAATGTTCATGCCAGCTGGAACACACAAGTGTATCAAGCATCCTAATATAACCTTGGAGGAATTGCTTGCTATTTATGTCTCTGATTATATGGCAGAGGTCATAGTCAGTTTCAGGTCATTCTGGGTTAGAGCAGTTTATGAAATGCACTGAAAGTATAGAGATAAATGTTTTTATATATTTCATCTAAATTATCTAGTAGGAATATTCTATATACAATTTAAAAGATACATGTATGAATGTTATGCATCTTGAATGCAGAAATCTTTCTGTTTATTCTGATTAGCTTTACTAAAATCTTCAATAGTTTCAAGTGCTGGGCTTTTCATATAGAACCAAACTCTTTTTTTCCATGTGAGGGGAGTAGTTTAGTATATACAGTGTTTAGATGCTAACAGAATTACTGGATGCCTTTTTTTATTTATTATGTTCCACAGTGGTCTTTCAGGCAATTTATCAAGCACTGAACTTTAAAGGACAACCCTAGCCAAAACATTGCTTAGTTCTAAAGTGGAACTTCCCTCAAAAGGGGAAGTTCTGTTTTATGTCCCCCTCCCCTCCTACTCTACCACATTTAGCATATATTTATTTTTGGTGGGGGGATGCGAGTACCTAGTTTTGAAAGATACCCACTCCCTCTTCCGCTCAGATAGTCTAGGACCCTCTTCTCTTTACCCACAGCCTTGTGGGACATGTCACAGGTGCCAGAAGGCTGTGGGATAATTCACAAAGTGCAGCATAACTCTTGCATACACAGTGGGAAGTCGGCTGTGAAGCCGCAAGCTGTCACAGCAGGCTTCCCGCACTATAGATGTCAGCACTGGGGACCCGAAGACTGGTGAAGAACCAGCCCGAATGAGGACAGCATTGGAAACTTGAACAGGTAAGTGTCCTCTTGGACAGCTACAGGATTTGCATCTGCTGACTTTTATTTATTTTTTCCTAAGAAAAACCGCTTTACATAGTGTGTAGATCTTCACCGGTCTTCGGGTTCCCAACTCCGGCATCTTTAGTGTGGGAAGCCAGCTGCGACAGCTTGTGGATTAACAGCCGGCTTCCCACATTAACGATGCCAACACCAAGGATCTGAAGAACA